GCACTCGTTTCCGTTCCCTGATTGGCATAAAACCGCCAGCGTTTTCTCCTGCTCCCGGAGCGTGTGGGTGAGGAGCGGAGACGCGGTGCGGGGGGGACAGCTCTCCCCCCGCCGAGCCTGGGGCTGCTGGTGCCACGTCGCTGCCACTGGATTTTATTGGTCAAAGTCATCTCAAGGGAGGCCAACTCCAGCCCTCAATGCAAGGGACATAAAAGAGACTTTGTGGCTATTTTTTTTTAATCTGCCCAAGTTCTCCATCAGCACTTGTTAGACGAAGGCGGGTTCATGAGCGAATTGCGGCGTCTGTTCGAGGTGTCGGGTACCAGCCAGTGGGACTCCGACCCTGCAGGGTCCCTCCAAAGGTGGACCGAAGAGAAGCCACTTCCCAGAGCTCACGCAGGCCCCCCCACCCCCGCTCTGGCCTGTGGCGTCGCGTCCCGACCCCCGTGTGCGGTGGACACGCATTTGTGCCCACTGCCACACACCCGCCGACCCCCAGCAACTGGGGAGGGAGGGCAGAGGAGGGAGAGGCGGCCGACAGCCAGGCCCCGGGCCGGGGGCGTCACGCACGGCCTCTTCTCCCGCCCTCACAGCATCCCGCACGGGGGCCCTTACGCCCATTTCAGGCGTCGGGACCCCAGGGTGCTGTGGGGTCGCGCGGGCAGACTCCGGGCACCAGCCCAGCCGCTGGGCGCTCTGCCGGAGCGGAGATGCGCCTCAAGCTGACGGCGCCCCGGTCACGTGGTGCCGTCTCTACTTGCCGCACCAGCGACTTCCCTGAAGGGGCGGCGTCCAGCCCAGTTGTGGGCAGAGCCTGGGGCGGGGGGGCGCTGACCCTCAGCTCGCCCCCCCCCCCCGTCACACCCGTCACCTCCTCGCGCACTCTTCCTTGGCTTCCCTCCCCCAGAAACCATCGGCGCTGGGGTCCTGGCCTCAGGCTCTGATCCAGGAAGAACCTAACCGAGATGCCCACTTGGCAGGCGCGGGAAAACGTGGGATCAGGGCCACGCTGAGTCCAGGAAACCTGAAGAACGGCGTGTGCCGGACGGCCCAGAACCGTCAGCACCGGCGGCTGAAACCGACGGAGGGGGTGGGGTGCGGGAGAGCAGGGCTTCGAGGGACAATCCCCCGGTCCCTGCGCCCCTTCTGCCCCCTCACAAATGAGGCTGTGTGTGAAGGCGCCCCAGCAATCCGTGCGCGTGGATGCGGATCCTTGGAACCCGACCTTGACAGTAGGTGCTGTACCACTCACGTGCCCGCGGCTTGCGGAGGCCACGCCCAGGCTGGGCACCACGGTGTCGCGAGGATGGGGTGTCACGCAGGCGAAGAGGGTCCCCCAGGGCTCTGGGCCCTTTGCTTCTGTGCGAGCCTCTGTCGGTGGCACATGCTGTTCTAGAAGGTGGTCCGTGCAGCGAGACCCAGGAATAGCCATCTTGCTCCTAAGAGGGTTTAATCATCATAGGACTCAAACAAGCCTGAACTCAGGTCTTTATATTTAAGATATGTTTCTTCCAAGCAGCATATAGCTGGGTCTTAAAAGACCTTTTCTTTTTCTTTTTTTTTTTTTTTCAATTTTTAATGTTTATTTTTGAAAGAGAGAGAGAGACAGAGCGTGAGTGGGGAGGGGCAGAGAGAGGGAGACACAGAATCCGGAACAGCTCCAGGCTCCAAGCTGTCAGCACAGAGCCCGACGCGGGGCTCGAACCCACAAACCAAGAGATCATGACCTGAGCCGGAGTCGGACGCTTACCTGACTGAGCCCCCCAGGGGCCCTGAAAGACCTTTCCACTTGGTATAGATTCCTAGGTGGACAGGTTTTGGATTTTTTTTGTTTTTTGTTTTTTTTTTTGTCGCTCTTGATACTTTAAAATACATGCACTTCCGTTGTCTCTGGCAAGAAATCGGCTCTTATAAAATGCATCTTTGCTCCCCTGTAGCTCAGCGTGGCTCTTTCCCATGGACCCTTGGAAGATCTTACCACTGGTTTCAACAACTGATGTTGCTCGGCCGAAGTTGTCTGCTTCCTGTGCTTGGGGTTTGTCAGGCTTCTAGCGCCTGTAGATTGTACTTCGTAGCAAATTCGAAACGTTTTCAGCCATTAGTTCTTCAAATACCCTTTCTGTCTCTATTCTCTCTCCTTGGAGACCCAGGCGCACAAATCAGGGCACTCGAGGTTCCCGTGGCTCGCACACCAGCGTGTGTCTCTTTAAAAGTTCCTTTTTTTTTTTTTTTTTTAAACATGGGATCATTTCCATGGCTGTGCTTTTAATTTTAAGCCCACTCATCCCTCCTTTGTCATCAGTACATCCAGGACACACTTTATCTCACACATTATAGTTTCCATCTCCAGGAATTCGATTTTGGTCTTTTTTAAAATATCTCCCTTGGCTCGACTTAACTATTTGAACATACGGAATGCAGTTACACAAACAGTTCCAGTGTGTTTGCTAATTCTAATTCGTCACTTCTGGGTCTGCTCTGCCTGGCTGATCTCTTCCCTTATTTATAGGTTGTATTTTCTTGCTTTGTTACATGCCTGGTAATTTTTTATCTGATGGTAGACATTGTGAAATGTAAGCTGTTGGGTTGGAAACGCATAAGGCAAGAAGCTGGGGCAGTTGTAGGGCATGTTTGTTTTCCATACATCAGAGATGAGGTCTGTTGCCTCATATACAGTGTCTTAAAAACCATGGTTTCTTCCTTTTTAATATTTATTTTTGGGAGAGAGAGAGAGAGAGAGAGAGAGAGAGAGAGAGAAAGGGAGATCAGGGGAAGAGAAGAGACGGAGAGAGAGAGAATCCCAAGCAGGCTCCACACTGTCAGTGCATAGCCCAGCACGGGGCTGGAAGTCACAAAATGAGATCATGACCTGATCCAAAATCAAGAGTCAGATGTCTAACCGAGTGAGCCACCCAGGCACCCCCAAGACTGTTGTTTCTTATATCTGTTAGTTTCTGGCTGTTTCGGGCAGGAAGGTAGATGGGCTGGAAGGGGAAGTCCATTATGATTATTTTTTAATGCTGTATCAAGGGCATCGCACCGTGGAGGGCTGTCAGCATGAGTCACAGCCTGTGGGCACTGCCTTCCCTGTCAGGGAGACACGCTCCGTCGTGTCCAGAAGAGATGGAGCAAGGTCATGGCGATGGTCATGCCCAGTGCATCATGGGAACAGCCTCAGGGGGTGCAGGCGGCAGAAGCGTATTCAGAAGAGAGACGACGAGGAGGGAGACTCGAGCCAGTTTTGGAGGAAGAGCAGTTCGGCTGAAGCAAGGGTGTTTGGCAGACTTGGGACGCTGTGGCCCTTTCCCTGTTGGCGGGGCAAGTGCAAGGTGGGTAGAGGCCCCGCAGAGGAGGTGTGGGAAGCGATGCGGTGACCGGCCCTTCTCTGGAGCATCCCTGTCGTGCAACCTTGGCTTCCTGCACTCAGGGTGGCTGCGAGGGCCCCGCCATCATGCGTGGGTTCCGCAGAGGGAGGAGCTTTCCCAAGAGCCTCGCTCGGGCGCTTCTGCTCTCGCCTCCCAGGCCAGGGCCGTGCCCCTGACCCCCGAGTCCTCAAACAGGGTGGATGCGGTGCCACCCTGAACAGATCGGCTCTCTCTGTCTCTCTCTCTCTGTCTCTCTCTCTCTCACTCTCTCAAAAATAAATAAACATTTTTTAAAATTTTAGAAAATTGAGAAGCAAAGGACCAAAATCCCAGTAGGAAAATGGGGAAGAGACAGAACAGACAGTTCCCTGAAGGTCAGGATACAGAACTGCTCCTCGCACATGAGATAATGTTCTAACCCGTAACGAGAGGGAAGTGCCGACTAAGACCCCTCTGAGAACATTACATGACGTGACCGCGGGTTCCGCTGACCCCGACTGTGGGGACGCAGGCCTCTCAGACACGTTGCTGGGACCCGGGCCGCACAGCCCGCGCGGGACGGCCCCTCCTGGGACGGACCCCCAGGGAGTCTGCAGCCACTGGAAAGCACGTGTGCACGAGGTGGCTTGTGAGGTCCCGCGGCAGGCGCCCGGCGTCATAGGCCCTGGGGACTGCCCTCGGGGTGACGAGGGACCGTTCAGGACTTACTGTTCAGTGACGTGAGCAAAACCCCGCGAGGGGCCAAGGTTCTGCTCTTCCCGGTGGGAAGGAGGGAGGTGAGAAAATAATACCTGTACGTGCTCCTTTGGGTGAGAAAAAGTGCAGCGAGGACGAGGCAGAAATTTGGAGGCTGGTCCCCGGCGGGCGTGGGGGGGGCGGTGGGGTCAGAGCGGAGCGACGTGCCTCTGGCTCCCGGGACCACGGTCGGCCGTGACGCGCTGTCCCCGTGCTTGTGGGCTGGTGTCACCAGGAAGCTTCGGGGTGAGCGGCGTGGCTGTGTGCTACGCGCTGTGTGGCGTGGAGGGTGCCCGCCAGCTCCAGCCCTTCCAGAACCTTGCATGTGAGCCACGTGCTTCGTCAGACCCCACCGGACGGAGCCGAAGACTCTTTTCTGACCAGAGAACAATGAAGGTTGTTTTGACCAAGGCCTGCCTACCCAGAGCACTGGGGGTTCGTTTGTTTGTTTAAGGTTTATTTTTACGTAATCCCTACGCCCCACGCGGGGCTCGAACTCACGACAGTCACAACGCTGATGTCAGGAGTCTGGTACAACACCGGCTGAGCCAGCCGGGCGCCCAGGGACTGTCCCCTTTTCTCCTTCCGAGTCCACGGAAACGACACACCCACCTCCCCAGGAATGCCGCTCACACTTCTTACTGAGATTTCTTTTACAGCAAAATGTTGTGGCCAAGTTTGCAAACGTGTAATGAATAATTCACGTTCCGTCTTCCTCGCGTTCCTGCGAGGACCCAGGAAGTCACCAGGGGCGCCAGCGGGGGGCGGGGCGGGGCGTTCAGCCACCCACAGGCCGAGTGCTCGCGCGCCCGTGCTTCCTTTGCGCCACAAATCCCCAGGCGCTTCGGCCCCTTTCCAGCCGCGTGGAGGCTGCTGGTGACACCACTTCCCTCCTTTCAGGGATGACGATACCTGAGGACGACGCGGACGTGGGGCAGGGCAGCAAGTACTGCCTCGTGGCCATCGGCCGCCTCCAGGTGAGGGGAGGCGCTTGGCGGGGCGTGCACCCGGGTGGTGCCTGCCCCCGCAGGGCCCCAGGCCCCTGGCTGGGCAGGGGTGAGGCTGCACGTGGGGAGCGCAGGGACGGTAGGATGCCGCCCCCTGCTGATGATGGCGGGGGGTGGGGGGGAGGCCGCTAGCCTGCCCTGCGCTGCTCCCAGGTCTCAGAGGACAAGAGATGAGGAGGTGTGTCCACACCCACCCATGACGGGCGTTGCTTGTTCCTCACGGGGGTGGGAGTGAGCCCTTGCACACCTTCAGTCCACAAATGTGACCTCTCCAAACATCTGACCCGTCCCGCAGACCCGCGTGCCACCCTGCGTAAGGGGAAGGGCAGAAGGGGAGAGCATGGACATTTCTGAGCACCAGCTGTATGCCTCGCAGCACCAGGGTTTAGCCCGCGGTGTGTCTGGAAGCTCACCCCACCCTGAGATCGCAGGGCTCATTATTCCCACTGACTGATAAGGAAACTGAGGCTCTGAATGTAAGGTGGCCCACGGCTAGTTAGTGGAAGGCGTGGCCAGGACGCTTTGAACATTTAAAACATTTTTTAAGGTTTATTTTGAGAGGCAGAGAGAGAGGGAGACATGGAATCGGAAGCAGCTCCAGGCTCTGAGCTGTCAGCACAGAGCCTGACACAGGGCTTGAACCCATGAACCTAGAGACCATGACCTGAGCCCCCTAGGCGCCCCTTTGAACGTTTTGGACCCGCTGTACTGATGACCCGGAGCGCCTGTGACAGGAACTGCTCGTGGGTGACCCCCGGCCCCTGCCTCTCTGGCCATCCGTGCCCCGTGTCCATCGGGACCACCTCAGCGTGCATTCCCCTTCCAGGTGACCAGCTCGCCCGTGTGCATGGACATGAGCGGGATGTCGGTGCCCACGGAGTTCTTATCCCGGCACAGCTCGGACGGGGTCATCACGTTCGTGGACCCCAGGTGCATCAGCGTGGTCGGCTACCAACCCCAGGTAGGGGCTCGGGCTTGGCGCGTGGCCAGACGTTTACCTTTGCTGGAATGTGCTGGTGTCGTCTGTGCGGGCTGCGGCAGGGAAGCGGCGTAGGGAGCTCGGTGTAGACACCCGCATTCCTGCCGGGACAGGGGGGCGTCCTTCCAGAGCAGGAAAGACATGGCGAACAGCCAGCCCGCTGCCCGCGCCAGCCCTCCGTGCCGGCCCTCGCCGCCCGTCCGCCCGCCGGGCCGAGCGTTGCACACCGGGGTTAGGGTGCTCTGTGGGGAAGGGGCTGTCGGTCAGTTAACTTGGGTGAACACAAAACAGGGCGTCTGCTTCTTGGAAACTTAAAGACATTCTCAGTCCCCAAACTGAAGCCTTGAGGAAAGGTGGCCACTCAATTTTGCTCAGTCCCTTGTGACTCAGATGTGGGAGCTTTTGTTTCAGGGGCGTATTTTCAGGTCTTTGTCCTAGATCGTTCTTTTTAAATGCCAGCGTCATGAGAAACCCAGAAGGGCAGGAGATGATTCTAGATGAAGGTAAACCCAAGACAGACCGTCAGTGTGGAACGGGGGAGCCTTCTGTGGGGCCCAGGCTGAACCCACGTAGCCACAAAGACGTCTGGGAGACCATTGGAGAAACGTTAACGTGTGTGGAGTATCAGGCGGATTAGGTGTGATGTGGAACATCCATGTATCTGTGAGGTCAGTTTTTAGGGACACACTTCAGGACACGTGTCTTGTAAGATGTCATTTTTAAAAAATTTTTTTAAATGTTTATTTTAGAGAGAGAGAGACAGAGCATGAGCAGGGGAGGGGCAGAGAGAGAGGGAGACACAGAATCTGAAGCAGCTCCAGGCTCTGAGCTGTCAGCACAGAGCCCGACGCGGGGCTCGAACCCACAAACTGCGAGATCATGACCTGAGCCGAAGTCGGACGCTTAACCGATTAAGCCCCCCAGGCTCCTCTCTGTTTCTGGAAGTGTGCTTGTTATGGCCTCTGCATCTCCAGGCAAACCAATAAGATTGTGCTGAGGCTGCTGACAGAGTGCCTGAGCCCGATGAGGAGGGGGTAGCGGGCAGGGGGGCGCAGGGGACACTGCGTCCCCCTTAGGATGCGGCGAGCCAGGGGACAGGGCTGAAGGGGAGGCAGAGGGGCGCTGCTGTCTGACAGTCGGGCGTCCGTAGTGGGGAACGGGGCTGGGGGTCCTTAACGCGTGTCTCTGTATTCAGGATCTCCTAGGAAAGGACATTCTGGAATTCTGCCACTCCGAGGATCAGAGCCACCTGCGCGAGAGCTTCCAGCAGGTACCAGCGAGGCCGCCGACCACGACGGGGCCCAGCACACGCCCGGCAGGCCCAGCGGCGGGTTGGGGGCAGATGCAGCTGGAGGCCAAGACTGCGAGAAGGGCAGGGGACAGAGGCTGATAATGTGTTGGGGGGGGGGGCGGGGTGAAGGCCACTGAGGCCACGTTAGGAGTTCAGGCCCCCACCCCCCGCCCCGCCCACGACCCTGATGAGACTGTAGCAGAGCAGAGGGTGTGGACAGCTTGGGTGGCCAGGGGTCAGCGCAGGCGGGCGTTGGAAAGCCCCTGCTCGAGGTGACGGGAGGGGGGAGGGGGAGCTCAGGGCCCCTTGTCGCCTCGCTGACGCCTCGGGGAGAGCGGGGAACAGGGCTCAGCCCGGCTGCGGGAGCCTGGGAGGAGGGCCCCCCGGGCTGAGCGCCTGCTGTGTGTGGCCCGGGCCCGCACAGTCGTGGGGGCGTCGCCTGCCACGTCACGGGACAGGAGGGGACCCTCGGGGGCAGGCAGGGGCCCCACGGCCACGCGGTGGATGCGTGGGACCCGCGTCAGCGCTCAGCCGCAACGGCAGAGAGGAGGGGCCCCTCCCTTGCGCGGCCCGAGCCCAGGAAGGAGAGCAGCGGGTCTTCCAGCCGCTTCGCAGGAGGGAAGGGCGCCCCTCCCTCACCGCGAGCCCCCTGACGGCCGTATCGGTGCCGTGGGCGCGTCCACAGCAGACGCACCGCTCCATTCCCACTCCATTCCCGCGCGTGGGGCATCCGTGCGGGTCTCAGGCACCGCCCCACCCCTGCGCTCCCTGCAAGCACCACCCGCCCCTGCTTCTCTGAGTCCTGTCCCTGAGCTGGGCCCGTAGCGTCTGCTCCGCGCCTGTATCCAGGTGTCGGCACCCACCGCGCGCGCACACCCAGCACACCCAGCACCGCGTGCGCCCGCACACCCAGCACACCCAGCATCCTGCACCCACACACCCAGCACACCCAGCACCGCGTGCGCCTGCACACCCAGCACACCCAGCACCCCGTGCCCACACACCCAGCACACCCAGCACCGCGTGCACCCGCACACCCAGCACACTCAGCACACCCAGCACCCCGCGCCCACACACCCAGCACACCCAGCACACCCAGCACCGCACGCGCCCGCACACCCAGCACACCCAGCACCGCATGCGCCTGCACACCCAGCACACCCAGCACACCCCTGCACCACATGCCTGCACACCCAGCACACCCCTGCACCACACGCCTGCACACCCAGCACACCCCTGCACCACACGCCCGCAGCCCTCAGCACCTGGTTCTCCTGTCCCCCAGGCTTTGCCACATCTTAACTTCCACGTGCCAGTGGCTTTGCAGTGAGTCTAGAATCAGATCCAGGCTCCTCAACCACAGCTGCAAGCTCAGTGTGACCCTCGACCTCATGTCTTATCCTCATGGGCTCACGGCACATGGTCACACGGGTCTTCCGGTGCCACTTCCCACCTCAGGGCCTTTGCACATGCTCCCTCCGACTAGACTGCTGTTCCCGCACTCTTTCCCGGACTGACGTCTTAGTGATTGGGCTTTAACGCCTGTCATCTCAGAGGTGTGGTCAGCGGCCATTACGCCAGCCCGGAAGGCCCCTACCCTCCTTCTCTGCCCCTTGTTTTTCCTCCACAACAAATGCTCCAGTTTGTAATTGTTTTATTTGTCTGCTGATTATCTCCCCCAACGTTCTCTCTACTAAAACATAAGCTCCCTGTGGGCAGGCTCCCCATCTGTGCTTTCACTGTCACGTCCACCACGGAGGCTAGACTTTCCTCCTGGGTGGGTGGCTCTTGATACAGTCTGAATGGACCCTGACCCACAGCAAGTGACTTTCATTCCGGAAAACTGCGAGAGGAGTGTGGTGCAGCGTTGCAGGGGTGTGTCCGTCATGAGGCATCTTTGCTGAGTACGTGGAGATTAATCCAACCTCGGGACTGGGTCTGCATCCCCCCCCCCCGGGTCTGTGGACACAGACAAACCAGAGCCCTTGTCGCACACGATGGAAGGTCATCGTCAGCCCGCACGGCCTGTAGGCAGCCCCGCTTTCAGGGCCACAGCACTAGTGGAATGGGGGATGGGGTCCCCATTTCCAGCGTGTCCTCCCCGTCACCTGCTGCACGGGGGCCTCCCGTCTGAGAGCACGCCAGCGTGTTACCCTGCGGATGCTGCCAGAAGCCGGTGGTTTGGGGGCGGAAACGGGAGGAACGTAACACCGGCCCCGCGTGACACCTGCTTAGGGACCCCTCACCCTGGAAGTGACACCTTGCCCCGAGGCCAAAGCTCAGCAGGCCACGGCCGGGCGGCCACGGGGACACCCTGGAGCGCTGGCCTCGGCCCCTCGCGTGTGTTCTTTGGGCTCCGGCCACTGGCGGCCCGGCTGGGGGACGGGTTTTGGTCAGAGGAAGGAGCACAGAGCCCGCCTGGGACTCTGGATTTAAACCAAAGTGTGTGAGTGGCCCGGACGTGAGACCCTTACAGGGCTGCCAGGCTTCTGGTCGGTTTGGGTCTGGGGGGCCCAGCCCAGGCGCCCCGAAACTGAGTCTGCCCTCGGCTCCGCTCCTGGACCCTCGCCAGGTTACAGCCGCCCGGCGGTCAGGTGGCCGAGCGGGGCTCCTGCCCCCTCTGCCCCGCGGCGCGGGTGCTGCTGGGTTGTGGCGGCCTGCGTGGTCCCTGCCCGCCTGGCGTCTGGGTTCTGCGTGCAGGTGGATCGTGAGTCCGGGAGCCCAGCCCCGTCTCCCCCTGGGAACCCTCTGCGGCCCCTCGGCGTCCTGGTGACCCCGTGCCTCCTGAGTCCCGCCACCGCGTCTGTCCTGGGCCGGGCTCTGCCTCGGCCACAGGGATCCATGAAAACACGGGGCAGCGGGGCCGGGAGACCGGGACCCCTCCTCCGCCCCCGCAGCCGGGCTCCGTCAGGACGCCTGGGCGGGAAATTCAACTCCTGTGGGGCTCACCTTCCAGATCCATGCGGTGCTGTCGTGAGGGCCACACGGGGTGACCGGTACCTTAGGCTGAGCCGGGAACTTGGCCCCGGGCGGGGAGGGTGGGCAATGGCCGGCCCTCCCTCTGCCCCTTCTCCAGCTCAGGGCCGAGCTTTGCACACGGACAGTGGGGTGGTGCCTGGGCGAGTGTGTTCCGTGGCCAGGACACGGGGCTGAATTCGTGGGGGGCGGCTGCCTGCTTGCGCTGTTTTGTGCGGATACAGAGTCTCCCACGGGACCCCCTCAGAGTGCCGGCCTCTGGGGCACGTGGCCTTGGCCTCTGGTCCTGTGGGGAAAGAGGCAGCTTCCTGCTGGGACCTGCCGGTGAGCCCTGAGTGTCGGGGTCCTGCCTGACCCCCCATTGCCTCCTCACGCTCGGTGCCAGGAAGGGTCATCCGCCCTCCTGGACATCGGTCTGGTTTCCCGCCAGGGGTCCAGCCCCCTCAGGATTCGGTCGTCCAGGTTCCCCGGGGTCGTCCCCCAGGCTGCGTCAGCCCAGGGCGTGGGGAGGAAGTTCAGGTGTGCCTGCTCCGGGCCGAGCCCGGCGGGGGGGGGGGTGACACAGGTCACGAAGAGATCCCTGACCCCGGGCTGTCCTCAGACATCCAGCCAGGAATAAAGTAGAGGTGAGGGCAGTTAAGGGAGGGGGGCCGGGCCCTCCGCGACCCTGCAACCAGGTCCTGTTCTCATCTCTGATCACTCTGGTGTCACGGTCAAGCCAGCCCGGCTGCCCTGGGCCCAGAGCCTCCGTCCCGACCGTCCCGACCAGGCCCAGGATGTGGGGAGAGGCACCCCGGCCCGGCTTTGTCCTGGGAGCATATTCACACCCAAGCCTAGCCCCGCCCCCCGGCCGGTCCTGGCTCCCTCTTCCTGTGTGTGTGTGCGCATGTGTGTGCGGGAGCACCTTCTCTGTGGTGCACGCTCACAGCCCCGCACCTCTGCTTGTGCACAGAGCATGAGTGTGCACAGAGCGTGAGAGCGAGACACCGTTGTGGCGTGGCACTCGGACCTTGCTTCCTGTCCGAGCTGCCCCCCCAGAGTGGTCTGATCGCGGGCAGCTCATTTAGCCTCCCTGACTCAGTAGTAAACCTACCGAGAGTAAAGCCCACTTTACCAACTTCCCGTGAGGATGTGTGTTTGGAGGTGGTTTGGAAGCCACATTGCAGCATAAAAGCAGTAATGGATCCCTGTGCACGCAGATAACGCACATGAGTTTATCATTTCATTGCACTTCCTCCCAGAGCGTGTACTTGATCCGATTAGCAGTGTTCAGTGGAGAGGAGCTAAGGACTTTTTTACTGTGAGGTGGGAAGAAATAAATCAGTGCTACAATGTAAGTCTACACCCGAGTGAGATCATTTCTTCTGAGGGGGAGGGGTACTAGTAGCAAACCCAGGGTACCCTAGCAGCCTAGGCGAAAAGGGGAACACTTGGTTTACAGGGTTTCACGGCCTGATTTGGAAGAGCTGAGAAAGAAAACGGGTAGAAAACGAATGTTTCGGAGAGTGTGACAGAGGACAGTGCCTGCTTCAGAGGGAGCCTCCCCCCGCAGCCCGGCCTTGCCCTCTGGCCCCGTTCTGAGCCCGGCCTCTCCTGACTTCCTTCCTGCTCCGTGTTTCCTTAGGTGGTGAAACTGAAGGGCCAGGTGCTGTCGGTCATGTACCGGCTCCGCACCAAGAACCGCGAGTGGGTGCTGATCCGCAGCAGCAGCTTCACCTTCCAGAACCCGTACTCCGATGAGATCGAGTACGTCATCTGCACCAACACCAACGTCAAGTACGTGCCCGTCCCGCCCGGCCCTGCAGGGCCCTCCTGAGTCCAGGGCTGGTGACCTCACCCGGGGCCCTTTCTCCCCCAGGCCCCCCTCCCCTGCAGCGGCGGTCAGTCCCTGTGGGCCCCGCCGCCACGTCCCCTGCTATGCTCCCCTCCCCCCTCCCTCCAGGTCCGCGAGGACCCGAGGTGCAGGTGCCCGGGACGCAGAGCCCAGCACAGGTGAGCCGGGTCCTTCCTGCCGCCTGGTTTCCAGGCCTTCACAGGCCGGGCCGGGGAGCGCGGCTGGGGCTCTGGCAGCTCCGGGGCCCCGGGGCAGGGGCGGGGGTGGCCCACAGCGCCTCACGCTTTCCCTGGACGCGTCCCTCCTGCTCAAGGCTCCACGGCCCCAGCAGCACCCCGGGCGTCACCCTGTACGCCACGCAGCCTGAGCTCCAGTCCGGACACCCCGCTTCCTGTACCTCGAGTTGTGCATCACGTGATGTCACAGCCCTCGCTTTCCCGTCTGTGCAGTGGGGTGATGGGGCCCCCCGTGGGTGCTGTGAGGAGTCAGTGGGGGGCTGCCAGCTGCGGGCAGGTCCCGCCCCCTCCCTGGATTTGTTCTCCAGGAAACACGAGGTCACAGAAGCATCGTGAACCGTGCCGAGTGCGTCCTGGCACAGGCGAGCACGTGGGGGCGGGGTGTGGCGGGCGCCGCCAGCAGCGTGGGGACCGTCCCTAAATGCCCGCTCCCTGTCTTGTCCACGTCCGACAGCCGTCCTGGAGATGCTGCCTCCAGGCAGTGGCCCTGGCCTCCTGGCTTGCTCAGTGCTCTGGCCCCCTTGCGTCCCCGCCGGCTCCCTGGATTGGGGCGTTCCCCTGGGATCCCCTGGGATCCCCTTCCAGGGCAGCCCCACGCTGTGCCTCAGCCTCAGCCGGGCTCCTCGCCCGCAGGGCACGGGCTGCCCCGGTTCCGTGAGGCTCCCACCGGGCAGGTCTGTGAAGTGGCCTCAGGGCCCGCGTGCCGCTGCGTGCGTGAGCCCGGTCGGTGGGGTCTGCCCGGGCGCTGCAGACGGTGTGGGGGCCGCGGGGTCCCCTCTGCCACCTGCCCGCTGCCCGCTCTGGGGCCCTGAGCCCCGTCCCGCCCAGCTCGCTCCTTGGAGCTGCAGGAGGGTCGTCCTGCCTGGCAGTGAACGCAAGAACCTCCCCCTGTTGGAGGGACCAAGGGTCCCTGTGCCCCCTCCTCCCCTCCCCCTCCTCCCTCGGGGCCCTCCCAGCACACCCTCCGCCCCCCCCCGGGGGCCACACCCCTTGTCCACACTGCCACGGGCTCATCCTGAGCCCCTGGGACAGGCACCGGCTTCCCAAACATGGAAGACCCCAGGCTCCCTGGCCTTCCAGAGCTTTCTCTGCCCGGCTCTCTGTTGGGGCCCCTCAGCCGTCCATCCCCTCGTAACCCCTCGCAGCCTGGCATTCGCTCCCAACTCTGTCTCGCTTTCTCGTGGGGACCGGCGTCAGCGACGCGCTGCTCCCTGCTCGCTGTCCCCAGGCCGTGTGACCACCCGCTCGCTCTCTACGTCCCCGTGTCCTGCCCGGGGCGGGGGGGGGGGGACGACGAGTCCTCTCTCCAGCTTCCCGTCTCGGCGATCTTGGCCGTAGCGACAGCAGGAGCAAAGGGCAGTCAAGCGGGAGCCGTAGATCCGGCTGCGGTGGAGCCGCGCTGCCTCCCGTATCTGACGTGGTCTAGTTGCCGCGTGGTGAACTCGGTTAACCTGAGGGCTTTCCTGCCCCCCCAACCCCCGCAGAGGTGTGGTCTCTGGGCGACACAACAGGACACTTGTTCCCCCAGGGCCTTGGGGTCAGAGGGTAGGTGACCGCCCTCGGGAGGAACTTACAGCCAAGGGGACAGAGGGGCCCCCGGGTGGGGCGGCTGGAACTGAGGGCCTTGAGCAGCAGACGGCAGTGACAACCAGCCCTCCGGCCCTTCCCACGGAGCTGCCTGTGGCCGGGCTCCGCCAGCGGCAGCAGACTCGTGGAAACGTCCTTAACTGCCCTGTGCCCGGGGCTGGGGGGCGGGGGGCAGGAGCCTGGGGGACCAGGAAGGGGCAGGGCCTGCCGCGGGGCCGTGAGCAGAGAGCGGGGCCCCGTGAGCCCTGCCAGGATGGGACTCTCTGCCCAGTGCTCCCTCCTGCCTCTTCCCCGGCGCCCTGATGAGGCTTCGTCCACCCTCCTCCCTGACCAGCTCCCCGCCTCCCGCCCACTGCGCGCCCCCCCCGGCCCCGCCCCCCGTGGCCCTGAGGAGCCGTGTCTGTAGAAGGCGCTCCTGCTGCTCCCAGACAGAGGCGGCTACAAGCCTGTGAGGCACGTTCGGGGTTGGGCTCCTCCCGACAGTGTGCACACGGCGTGGTCCGCACGGTCGGCCGAGCGTGTGCAGCCCCCCAGCGTCCTGGCCGGACCCCGGCTCTCCCAGGGGTCACTGCTGCCTGACCGCCCCCCTCGTGGCCGGTGCTCGCTTACTCAGGCTGAGGGAGACCCTCTGTCCGGGGAGCGTCACACTGATGGCCGGTGTCCCGCGTCCCTGGTGCAGGGAGGCCCGGGCCTGACGCATCCGGGGTCGCATCGTCCGCTCCTGTCCCCGGCGGATGGGGGGCGGCACTTCGCTGGCAGCGGGCCGTCCCGCACACAGGCTGGCATCAGAGTCCGCCGGGCCGCCGCGTTTCTGCCGCTCGGGAACTCGCAAGCACACCGAGGTGTGTCCGTCCCCCCGGCCGGGAAGTGTCCCAGCAAGCCCGTGAGGCCTCCAGCGGGACGGGGCGGGTGCACGCCACGGGCACCCAGACCCTGTGGAGCCGGCCCGTCCTTCCCCAGATCCCGCGCGGAGCCCGGTGTAGACGGTCCAGTACGTGTCCCGCAACAGGCTGGGTTCTAAATAAACTGGTCACGGGTCCCCCAGGGGCTCTCTCCTAAGTGGCCTTGCCTTGAGGGGTGAGGGGGCGGGAGGCACGCCCAGGCCCGCGGGAGGGCGCGGCTGCCGGGGGTGGTGCTCAGACTGTGCGTCTCTGGCTGGGCCGGGGAGAAGAGCCCAGGAACAGAATTCACTTTGTCTTGTTTCTCGGGCAGCAGGGCCTGAGCGCAGAACGGGACTTGTGAGAAGGTAGATTTGGCCGTTTCGGGACAGGCTGCGGGTAACTGCTCCTCTCTGGGGACGGAGCTGTCGGCCTCGACAAGCAGCGAGCTCCCCAGCAGCGGGCGGCTCAGTCGGGTGGGCGTCTGAGGCCTGATTTCCGCTCAGGTCATGATCCCAGGGTCATGGGATTGAGTCCGGCATCAGGCTCTGTGCTGAGCACGCAGCCTGCGAGGGATTCTCTCTGTTCCTCCCTTGGCCCCTCCCCTGCTCGCTCGCTCTCTCTCTCTCTTTCTTAAAAAAAAAAAAGTGGGGGGGGAAGGGAAGGAGGAAGCCGAGACTGGCCAGGGCCCCGGGCCGTCTGGTCGCGCCGGGGGCCTGAGGACCACGCTGCCCTGCTGGCTCTGCCCCGAGGAGCATAAGTGCTCAGTAGGTGGGGGCTTGGCCAGTGTGGCCCGAACAGTCCGCGCCTGGACCGAGGCCCCCCAGCTGCGCTCAGTCTGCACCTCTGCAGCCTGGTGGTGTGTCTGCTTCACGTTTGCCTGTTGACTGGGGACGGGCCGACGTTCACCTCTGTGGACAGGACGGCGTGGGCTCCTTGCTCGCAGGCTTCAGTAGAGGGACTGTGGGGGGTTGTGGGGCATGACGTGGTGACCCCCCTGCTCTGAGGTGGCTCCCGGTCTCATCAGCGCCCCCCCACCCCCCGCAGTGGCTAACCCAGGCCTTCCTGGACCGCCCAGGTGGGTGTCCCTTACCGTGGAGCAGTAGCCGCCGCCCCACACCCTCCTTTGTCACCTGCTCCTCAGGGCACGGCCTGTCTTCCGCAGACCCCTAGCATCGCGGCCTCGGTGTGCTCCGTTGTGAAGGGAGTTCAGAAACTACCCACTTGGAGTGGTATCAGCCCCTTTGTGAGCTCGGCGTGAGCCGCGGCTCGTGCAGGGGTGTGTGGAGGGTGCGGCGTCTGCAGTCGGCCTCTCCCCCACCCCCTGCCAGAACTTTCTGCACAAGCCGCCGCACCAAGGGTGTTTTTACCAGCTCCGCAGGTGAAGGATTGCACTTCACGTTTGCTCTGATTTGCACTTATTTTGTTTGCTCTAAGGGTGAACATGTTCCCCTCTGCCTGCTTACTGCGTGAACACACACGTTCCGCATCACGTGTATGCGCCGTGGGTCCTCTGTGTCCTTTAGGTCGGCTCCTGGGCAGCGGGTGGGTGTGACTTGGGTCCGTGCTCCGCTGGCCACTTTCCGCCTGTCGTTCCTGTTTGGTGCGCGGACTTGAAACAGAGGCCGCCATCCTGCTCCATTTTTAGGCTCTGAGTTGTGGGGCCTGGAAAGTAACCCGGTTTCCATCTTCTGAAACGTGAGGCGGCTGTTTCCTGTAAGGAGCCTTTTCCGTCCCGAGTGGGGCTGCCTGGGGGCCAGTGGAGCACAGAGCAAGGACCAGAGGCATCAGGGCAGGTCCTGGCTTGGAGGGACCCCCCCCCCGCCCCGCCCCGGGCAGCCCCTTTGTACTGAGCGTGAGGTCAGGGAACGCTGTGCGAGTCCGGCGTGAGGGCTGGAGGGGGGACAGGAGGCCACCCGCCCCCGTCCAGCTGAAGCCGAGGGCTTCTAGCTCCATCTGAACTTCGCCTCAACACTTTGTTTTAATGTGGTGTCTTTTCACCCTGCGTAAGATGAAATCATGAACTAAAACGTATTTCGTAAATGTTGGCAACCTAAACTTAACACACGGGGCTTGGACTCTTGATTTGAGGCATTAAAAATAATCATAACAGGGGGCGCCTGGGTGGCTTAGTCGGTTAAGCGTCTGACTTTCGCTCAGGTCATGATCTCGCGGTTCGTGGGTTCGAGCCCCGCATCGGGCTCTGTGCTGACTGCCAGCTCAGAGCCTGGAGCCTGTTTCGGTCTGTGACTCCCTCTCTCTCTGACCCTCCCCTGCTACGCTGTCTCTCTCTCTCTCTCTCTCTCTCTCCTAGAAATAAATAAATAACAAAAAAAAAATAATCATAACGGGCACCTGACTGGCTCAGTTAGTTAAGCATCTGACTTGGTTTTAGCTGAGGTCATGATCTCACGTTTCATGAGATCGAGCCCCACACTGGACTCTGTGCTGACAGTGCGGAGCCTGCTTGGGATTCCCTCTCTCTCTCTCTGCCCCTCCCCTGCTCTTGCGCTTTCTCTCTCAAAGTAAATAAACTTTAAGCAGCTGTAAAGTAAAACAAGTAAAAACCGAAAACACTTAGGGGCCTGTCGGGTGTGACCCGCTGTCCCTTGGGCTGGGGAGGGCTCTGGCTCGGGCCACGGCCACTCTGGGTGACCCTGTAACCCCCGTCCGCAGGCAGCTCCAGCAGCAGCAGGCGGAGCTGGAGGTGCACCAGAGAGATGGGCTGTCGTCCTACGACCTGGCGCAGGTGAGCTTCTGGAAGATTCTTTCCCAGTTGGAGCGGTCTCGGGCCAAGGGACGAGGGACCAAGTTCGACCCTTAGCTTGATGCCCTCAGCCCAGCAGGTGCCAGTGCCCCTTCCAAGCTCCGAGCACAGAGGTGCAGGTGCCCCGGGGGTGTCTGTGACCCCCTGCAGGGCTGGGCCGGGAAGGGTGTGGGACACGTGGGGACCAGGCGGCAGGGCCGAGCTGCCGGTCCGGGGAGTGTCGGGGCGCAGGGGGGCTGCAGGGGCCTCGGTGTGAGCCCGGGGGCCCAACCGGCAGACTCGGAGCCGACAGAGGCAGCCCCGACCCGGGTCAGCCCCCCTCCCCGCCGTCCGCCCCGCCTCGAGTGGGTCCCCCTGCTCCCCACGCCTGTCCTGCCCCTGCGCCGGGTCCCCATCTGCCTGTGCCGCCTCCTCCCCCCCCTGCCTCCTCCCTCCCCTCCCTCCCTCCTTTTCCCTCTGCATTTTCTGCTGCTTCCAACTGTGCAGAGAAACCACAAGGTGCTGGGCCTGCCGCCGACAATAGACTCTAAGTCCACGTCTGGAGCTTAGGGCAGGCTGATTGTTATCTCTCCGTAAGGGGTCCGTGCGACTCGGTTGTCCCTTCTGTGGCCTCCGGCTCACACCGCACCCGCCGCCCCAGCGAAACCGGGCAGCCTGAATTGCCAGCGAGTCCAGAGCGGGGTGTCTCACGCGGGGCCTGGCTGTGTCTTAATGTGCGAGCAGGTCCCGGTGCCCAGCCTCCCGGCCGGCGTCCACGAAGCAGGGAAGTCCGCGGAGAAGGCGGACGGCATCTTCTCCCAGGAGAGGGACCCCCGGTTCGCTGAGATGTTCGCGGGAATCAGCGCGTGTAAGTTCCCAGCGGTGCCCACGTGCCGGGGGTGTGGGGCGGGGCCGTCGGGGGCCGAGGGGGCAACTGGAGATGGCGGCCGGTGGGCCAAGGGGGCGGCGGGACAGAGCCCTGGGCGCAGGAGTCCAAATGGAGCCCCTCGGCTTCCGGCCTTGCCTCTCGCTCACCTGCTACCTGGGGCCCCGGACCCCTCGCCTCCTAAATTCGAGGGTTTGGAGGAGACGCGTGCGCCTGCGTCTGCCTCGATCCCGGACGGAAGCCCCGTGTGCACCTGCCCCCCCACCGAACAGATTTCCGCACAGAGGAGCAGCCTGGAAATGTCTCTGTCGTTCTGAACTTCAGAGAAAGGATCCCATTTTCTTGTGGTCAAGGACTTCCTGCAGGATTCAGTGCGGTTGGGCCGGGGAAGGGAGAAGCCACGGAAGGGAAGCGCCGCACTGGCCACAGGGGCCCCACGCCGCCCTGCGGAAGGTGCTTCTCCCAGCCAGGCCGTGCGCACAGCCGGGAAGCCGCGGAAAGGCCCCCGCAGCACGGGCCGCCCCCCACCCCTGCTTCCCGCGCGCTGCGCTTGTGAAACAAATCGGAACACGGAAGACAGGAACGAAGCAACAGGTTGATAAAGCCGGAGCTCGAAGGACGATGTGCACCCAGAGGTGGCATAGACGCCGTCGGGAGACGCAAGCCGTGTAAAAACCTGAATCGAAGGAGTTAGCAAAGATCCGGGTATTGTGGGTTAGGGTCATACACAGAAGTCGCCCGTCGGCACGTGCTGGGTTTTTTTCTCTGACATTTATAGAGAAACACAGCTTCCAGTGTGTTTAAAAATAGCTGCTCTTGAAAGGGGAAAAGGAGAAGAAGGAAGGAAGTCTCCCAAGAAAAGACGGAGACATTTTTAGCAAATTGCAAGATACTCAGAAAAAAAGTGAACTGGTAAGAAAGAAACTGTGACCATCACGAGCAATAAAGTAAGTTGGTGTTCAGGGACTCCTGCCCAGTAACTCCGGAATGAACCGCTGCGGAAGGTCGCTGTGGCCCAGACAGCCTCATGCGAACCCGTTGACCCGGGGGGTGGGGCGTGGCTCCCGTGGGTCATCTAAGGCTGTGGGCAAAGATGGTTGTTTTCTTTTTTTTTCAAGTTTTATTTATTTATTTTTTAAAATTTTTTAAAGTTTTATTTATTTCTGAGAGAGAGAGATGGCGTGAGCAGGGGAGGGTCAGAGAGAGAGGGAGACACAGAATCCGAAACAGGCTCCAGGCTCTGAGCTGTCAGCACAGAGCCCAACGTGGGGCCTGAACCCACAGATTGTGATCATGACCTGAGCTGAAGTCGGACGTTGAACCGACTGAGCCTCCCAGGCGCCCCCAAGTTTATTTTCAAAAAGAAAGAGGTCCATGGAGGGGAAGAGAAAGGGAGAAAGAGAATCCCTAGCAGGCTCCAGGCTGTCAGCACAGAGCCCAACGCAGGGCTCGATCTCATGAACCATGAGACCACGACCTGAGCCGAAATCAAGAGTCGGACGCTCAGCCGACTGAGCTGCCCAGGCGCCCCACTGAGATGGTCATTTTCAACCAGATACGGGGCAAATATGTGCTGGCCCCAGAGGTGAACATGTGTCGCGAACATCGGAGTGTGTGGAAGCCAAATGAAACAGAAACACAGGAAGACGCTGGTAGAGCTGGAGGGCGGCAGGAGAGCGCGGGTGCAGTTCTTCATCTCCATCAGGTCGGGTAGATCAGAGCCCCAGCGTGAGAAAGGACACGGAAGACTGAATGATGAGGTCAAGAATCTGGATGTGCCCGCGTACACGTAGAATCTTGGAGCGCTTAGGAAAGCGTGCGTTTCCCCTTTACCCAAGTCACCAAACCCTAAGTGCACAGGAAATCATAGCTTACGCCGTGTGGGTGCTCACGAGTCCCTGGGGCACGGCCCTCCTAAAACCTTTAGTTCCATCTCTGCCTGCAAGACTCAGGACCGCGGACCGGGTCAGAGACCTACACGCAGGGGTCCGGGCCCCTCCCGTGCCGTGGGACTTCCCGTGCACACCCTGTCGTCGCAGCCGAGGAAATGGGCCCAGAAGGCTGCCCACGGCCTCGGTTTATCAGAACGTTACAGAAATACTCAGCGCATGGTCAGGGGAGCCCAGCCTCTCCGCCCCAAGCCCGCGAGCCTGAGTGTCCATCACCGCTCACGTCCACCCCGTGGGGGACCCCCAACTCCGCCTGTCCCCCCAAGCCAGAGATGGGTCCAGGCGGAGGGTCCATCCAGGCACAAAATAATTGCCCCGTAGCTAACTTCGACTTCCTTCCAGCATCGTGGGGGTGGGCCGTCAGGGCCGTGGGATTAACAGGAGTGGCAGTTTCGAGACTACAGGGAAAGGAGCGCCTCAGTCACAGGCGCGAGATCGCGCCCCTGACCGGCGGGGCAGAGCTGGGGTCCGCATGCTGGGCGCCCAGTGCAGGGACCTGTCCTCAAACCACGGCTCCGTGCTTCCTCCATGGGCTTGGAAGGATGCGCAAACTAGTGTCTGAGGGAGAACTTCCGTTGCCTCTTTCCATCTCGGGAAGGGCCCGCCCTCCAGCGGCACGTAGCCCCGCGCAGCCCGTGCCCTCGTGTGCAGAGAAGGCGTGTGTGGATAGGCGGCCGGGGTGCGTCCTTCTGAAGGACGCCCACCCCCCTCCCTGCTCCCCAGCTGCCCCGCCCCCCGCAGCCTGGAGGGCAGGACGCCCTTGACCGTACCCCTTGCCCTGCTTTCCCTAGCGGAGAAGAAGATGATGACCTCAGCGTCTGCGGCGGGGACGCAGCAGATGTACTCCCAGGGGAGCCCGTTCCCCCCAGGGCACTCGGGGAAGGCCTTCAGGTACGAGCTGGGAGGGGCCCCGGGGGCGGGAGGTGCCCCTCACCCTGGAAGCCCTGGGTCAGAGCTGGGCTCCGTGTGTGGCGAATTCTGCCAACACCCATTCGTGGCTCCTGCCCTGTGGGCCCTGGGCCAGGCCGGGTCCCAGCGGCTCTGGTTTGGCCTGATGCGTTGCTGTTGCCTGCTGGGGAAGGAGGGCCAGAGACAGGGTGCCCTCAGGGCAGTGTGGGTCCTACGTGCACCCACCATGCACCCAGCTCACCAGGAGAACTAGCCCAGGCCCAGGCCAGGTGGGCAGGGGCCCCATGCAGCCCACCTCCCGCTCACTTGGCCAGAACCTGCGCAGAGCGTCAGGTGCAATCAGGGACCAGGCGGGAGGGGCTGGCCGCCCCGGGGAGAGGGCCCCCCAGGAGCCTGCCCTCCCTAAGGTGGAGGGGCTTATGCGGCCCTGGTGCGTAGGCGGCCCTGGGGAAGCAGCAGGTGGCTCGGCAGCCATGCCCCGGGTTAGCGGGCCGGGGTGCAGGGAGGCCCGGGGGCGGCTGCAGCCAGCGCTTTGGCTGGGTGTCCCTGCACGCAGCCGGCCCCAGGCTCCGGGCTCCGGGCCCCAGGCAGCAAGTCCCTGGCCTGGGGCAGCAGGATGGGACAGCAGCCCAGCGAGCAGCCCCGGAGCTTTGCTCACTGCCGGGGGCCGTCCCTGCGGCCCAGCGTCGGAGGCCCCAGACTCCTCTCTCCTGCTGCCGTGTCACCCGCTGCCACACTGGGCGCACGGTGGCCGGGCACGCTTCCATCCAGGCTGGGGCTGGGCATGTGCTCATCGAGTCCACGTGGCCCTTCCGCCAGCCCCTCCGTCTGCAGCAGGGCAGCGGGGAGGGAGGGCCCTGGGCCGGGCCCAGGTGGCGCACCCAGGGAAGGCCTGGCCAATCCCGAGCCAAGCCTGGAAGCGGAGGTCACGTTGTCGCTCAATGAGGCGACGGCGTGTGGGCCTCAGGGTGTGCTGAGCGAAGCCGGGACGGGGAGAGGCCAGAGAGGCTTCGGGTCCGGGGGAAGCTGGAGGGGACCGCGGAGGCCTTGAGTTCCACGCTAGGGAGCTGGAGGGGAAGAGAGACTTGAGGAAGTGGGGTGGGGGCTCTGTCGGGGGGAGAGTGGAAAGTGAGGCTGCAGCGGGTTCACAGGACAGATGGTCCAGCTTGAGATGCTGAGCTGGGGTGAGGCTGTCGTCATAGAAACAGGTTGGAGGGCATAATGGAGGAGGGGAGGCTGGTGGGGAAGGAGTCGGGAGGACGCCAGCCGCGTGCAGAGCCTCCACGAGGACGGCGCTCACCACGGCTCATCTGTGGACTGGACGGGTGTGGCGGGGGGGACGGGTGTGGGGGGGGAGGGGTGGGGGGGAGGGGAGGGGGGTGTGTGGGTGGGGAGAAGGGTGGATGATGGAGGGAAGGAGGGAGGCAGGGAAGCCGGGATGAAAGGGAGCTCATGAGGCCTTAACCTGGTGGAATGGACTGAATTTCCTGTGACTCTAAAGGGCCCGAGCTGGCTTGAGGGGAAGGGTGTGCAGTGAACAGCACTCAGAGGTCGCCCTGAGCCGCAGCGGGTGGCCTTGCCGCGCGTCCCTGAGTGTGTCCTCGCCCACAGGGCCTGGGCCCCAGCCTGTAGGTACCAAGGCCGGCGGCTGTAGCCCAGGGGCCCCTGGAGAGTGCTGGGCGCAGGGCCGGCCTCCTCCATCAGCGCCTCCCGGTTCCCGGGGCGGGGGGTTCGGGACAGGCCCCTGGAAAGAGCCACGATCAGCAGGAAAGGCCTTCTGAGGCCGACCGGGAAAATAACCTGTATGTGAAGGAAGGAAGTAGTTCACGGGGGACGGCAGTGACGTCCCCGTCGTGGCCGGGACCAGAGAGCCTTGGTGTTTTCCGTCCTCCTGTGTGAAGAGGAACCGGATGGCTCGGGAGAAATACTGTGATACAGTTACTAATAGGGTCCCCTTGTGTCTATCTGCTGCTCCCCAGAACCCACCGGAGCTTTCCGTGTTAGCTCGTCCCCCTCCCCCGACTCCCTCCTGGGTCCGCACCCTCTGCTGTGCTAGGAGAAGCGCCTGAAGGCAGGCGGGAGTCTCTCCTCACCTCCCCACCATCCAGTCTTTAATGAGTCTGTTGAATAAATGGAGTGGCTGGAAATTGGGCCTGGGGTCCACACCCTGTGACCTTGTGGCGCACACAGCAGGTGCCTCATAAACCCTGGCAGAGTCGTGAGCGGGGAGGAGGGCCGAGGGGAGGCCCCGCCCCCAGCCCCCACTCCAGGCCCTCCCCCGCGGCCCCCCCCGTAGGCGCCCCAGGGGGCGAGTTAACCAGAGCACATCGACGCTGGGCCTGAGTTTTATTCTAAGGAGCTTCTCCCTCACGACGTCTGTTGGGAGCAAGAGACACAGGGGTGGGGGGCGGGGGGGGGTTGTGTGGAGGAGAGAGCGGGCCCTGCTGGGGACACAGAGGCCGAGCACGCGGGTGGAAGGGGCAGGTGGCCCAGGGGGCAGCGTTGGGGGCGGCGCCTCTCCCGGGGACGGACGTGACTTCGTGTCTCGTAGCTCCTCCGTGGTCCACGTGCCTGGCGTGAATGACATCCAGTCCTCCTCGTCGACCGGCCAGAACATGTCCCAGATCTCGCGACAGCTGAACCAGGGCCAGGTGGCCTGGACGGGCAGCCGGCCGCCCTTTCCAGGACAGGTACGGCCTCGGTGGGGGCGGCGCCTGGCGCCCAGCCGGTGTGAGCGCGGGGATCTGCTTTCCCTGGATCGCGGCCCGGAGCCGGGGCAGCACGGGCCGCCGGCCCCCCCGAGGCTCCCCCAGCGGTTCCCCGTCTGCTCTCCGTGGCCTGGCACGGCCGTCGCAGCCTGGGGCGCAGGGGAAGGGGCGCTCCATCGGGAGGGGCCCCCCGCCCCGCTCTGGACCTCTGTCCGCCCAGCTGGGAGTGCGCGGGAGCCCGGCCGGGGACACGCGCAGCCCTCTGGTGTCACTGTGAGGCGGCGCCCGCTCTTTGCCCTGCCCGGCCCCGAACGCGCAGCCGGACCCCAGCCGTGTGGGACGGGGGGCAGGTTCACCGAGACCTGCCCCGGAGCCGCGGGCCAGTGCCAGCCTTGGGCCCCGTCGGCCGGGAGGGCTGCAGGGAGTCACGGTGGGCCTGGGGTGGCCTGCGGACGACACTTCCCTTCTCCTGCTTTGTCCTGATCGTAGCACATCCCTTCCCAGTCCGGCAAGACGCAGTCGCCCCCCTTCGGGATCGGAGCGAGCCACACGTACCCAGCAGACCCGGCCTCCTACAGCCCCCTGTCCAGCCCGGCCACGTCCTCGCCCAGCGGGAACGCCTACTCCGGCCTCGCCAGCAGGACCCCGGGCTTCGGTAGGCGGGACGCGGGCGCAGGGCTGCCGGGGGGAGGCGGCAGGCGTGCTCTCCAAGCACCCGAGTCCAGGGCACCGAGCCCCCGCCTGCAGAGCCCTGGGGCCAAGTCTGGAGGTCGCCAAGCTCGGGGAGGCCGGTGGTGTTCCTCAGAGGCTTGCCGCTTGGGTCTTGGCTTTGCAGGAAGACTTTGGCGCCTCCAGGGCCCTGGGGCTGTACCCCGCCCCCCGCTGTCCTCTGAGGGCTTTCAGGCCGCCCGTGTCAGAAACACCATAACCTTGTTTGGGGCATCCAGGGAACAGCTGTAGGGATGGCCGACTGTGTAAATAGGCTGTGTGAGTAAAGGACGCCAGGAAGTTCTTCCTCTTCTCAGGATCGGAAGAGGGACCCCTCCCACGAGAGAAAGCCTCTCCAGCCTTGTTAACAAGACCTCAGGCCGTAAAGGGTTAAGTGGCCACGGCCCTTAACGCAGGCCCCAGGGGCCTATGCTCTGCTGTGCGGACTGCATGGGCCAGGGCTGCACTTCAAGTCTTCGGGGGGTGGGGGGGCTGGCCCTGCCCAGTGTCCTGAGCGGAAGCCCAGACGCCCATCTTCTCAAGGCGGGGTCACCGCTGACGCCCACTAGCGCCCGGGCCCCACAGACAGGCCCCGGCCAAAGCTCTGAGGGCACGGAGGGCTCCAGGGCTGAGCGCCCCCCACCCCGTCCCCTACAGCTGTGCCCAGGGGGACCCGCACCGTCCGCACTGACTTGCTACCTGTCAGTCAGTGTGAGCTGGAGGGGGTCGGCGGCCGGCTCTGGACGGAGCGTGCCCTTCGGACGTGGGGGCCCCTGGGCTGCGGCGGGTGGGTCTCTGGAGCCTAACGGCGGCGCCCTGCACGCGGGCTCTTACAGCCGAGAGCGGACAGAGCAGCGGGCAGTTCCAGGGGCGGCCCTCGGAGGTCTGGTCCCAGTGGCAGAGCCAGCACCACGGGCAGCAGAGCGGTGAGCAGCACCCCCACCAGCAGCCCGGTCAGACTGAAGTGTTCCAGGTAAATCAAGCGAGCACAGCCTTGTCCTAGGTACCGGCGCCTTCTCTCTGCTTCCTTTCCCCTTGCCCTTTGCCGCAGCCCCAACCACTCGGTGCAGACCTGAGTTCGGGCCCAGCCCGGGGGGGGGGGGTTGGGGGGGGATCAGAAGCCCAGGCCTCCGCCATCCTCTCTGGCCAGGGATGCCCGGGCATCACGCAGCTGGCTGCGCCTCTGACCTAGCCTGCAGCAGCCCCGCGTGCCCGTGCTCGGCCCCCTGGGGTCCGCCTGGCCCCAGCTCCAGCCACAAGTTCCCCCAGGAGGAAGGTTCCAGATGGAGGCATGAGCCCATTGACCGCCCGCTGAGCCGAGTACTCAGACCGTCCCATGGGGGCCCGAGTGAGGGAGAAGCACGGAGCTGCTTCCGTTGTGCCCAGAGCACCAGGTCTGCCCTGCAGAGCAAGGACGGGCAGGCAGCAGGAGGGAGAGGGATTGAGCGCCCCCCTCGGCGGTAACACCCCTCCCCAAGGGTCCTCTCTCCTCCTCTCAAGCGCCTTCCCGCCTGGCCGAGCAGCACCTTCACAGACAAAGGTCTGGAGCCCAGATGTCCCTCGAGGTCTCCAGAGGGACAGCACTCTGACCTCCTTCCTCCGTCCTTAGGCCTCACGGCAGCCGTGTAAGGCAGAATTCCCCGGCCTGGCTCTTCAAGGTCACAAGGCTGGAAAGAATCCTTGGGCAAATAAACGTGTGAAACACTGGCTAGGCAAAGTTATTCAGTTTCTTGACCGCAGGACTTATCAGAGCCTTTTACTACATTAACAAAGACTGAGGATATTTAGGAGTAGGCAGAGTCTGTGTGTCTCGTTCCCCGTAACTACTCGTCCACACAGTTGTCTTCTCCCAGTGTGTCTCATGGGCCAAGGATTTGACAGACACACTTTGGGAAATTGTCCACAAGGGGTTGAAATCTTGGCTATGCCTGTTGTCTGGATGGGCGCTCTGAGGCGGCAGAGCTTGAAGGGCTCGTGAAAAGTGAAGCCCAAGGAGGCAGGCGTTTGGCCCCGCCCTCAGAGCACGCACAGCCTTGCTAGGTGCCCGGGCAGATGCACCCAGCAGCGGGCTCTTGTCGCCCCGCGTCCTGGCTTGACGTGAGAGCGGGTTATGTCCCAGGGCTCGGTTTGCCTGCTGGGGCGGCCCCTTCCGGGGGAGAGCGGCTTCTGGGCGTGGACACTCGCGGCCCCTGAGCACCTGGGCTGCCCCCAAGGGTGGCGAGCGGTGGGGTGAGAGGCAGCCTGGGCTCCTGGGACGCGCAGGTGCCGGCGGGCGGGGGGTGAGCCGACTGCCCGAAGCTTCCGTTTCTCCCCCGCAGGACATGCTGCCGATGCCGGGAGACCCGACCCAGGGGACCGGCAACTACAACATCGAGGACTTCGCCGACCTGGGCATGTTCCCGCCCTTTTCTGAGTAGCTGCGGGCAGAGCGCGGCTGGCGCTGGGCCGGTGGCTCTTGTGACAGCGCCACCCTCGCGGGCGGGGCCCACCCGCGCCCTGCTTGCCCCGCCCGCCCCCCTGGCGCCCCCCAGCAGAGAGCGTCTCAGCCCCGCACCCCTCCCCCCTGCAGCGCCTCTCAGCCCCGGCCCCCCGCCCGGTGCCAGCGACCAGGAGCCCCGGTAGACATGGGGGCCGGTTGTATTTATTGTGTCTTATCTGTTGTGCTTGGGAGGTGAGCCCACGGGCCCTGGGGTCGGCTTGTCAGTAATCTCCTAGTAGACGGTTTTTGCCTTTGAACAGCTCCGCTGTAGGGTCCAGATTGAGTCCCCGGGCCTGCCCAGGGCGCAGGAACCGGGCTTCTTCCTGCCTTTGACGTCTGCGGGTGGGTGGGTGCGGGGAAGCGCGGCCAGCGGGACACAGCCCGTGTTCTCCGTACAGACGCCAGCTGGACGCCAGCTCCCTGTCCCCAGCTCAGCCACGCCTGTGTGCGCATCCATGGCACCCCTGTCCCCAGCTCAGCCACGCCTGTGTGTCCGTCCGTGGTTCCCCTGTCCCCAGCTCAGCCACGCCTGTGTGTCCGCCCGTGGTTCCCCTGTCCCCAGCTCAGCCACGCCTGTGTGTCCGTCCGTGGTTCCCCTGTCCCCAGCTCAGCCACGCCTGTGTGTCCGTCCGTGGTGCCGTGGGACACGAACCCCTGGCCCTGTGATGGGGGTGCTGTGCCCCGTGCGTGTCGTGGGGCCAGAACCCAGGCTGCGTGGTGGGCTGGGCCCCGACCGGAGCGGGTGTGGCCCAGGGACCCAGCGCCCGCTCGCTCTAACGGGCCGCTGTCTGGTGCAGACCCCCTTCTGAGGGGAAGCGACTTCTTCCTCTTCCCAGAGCCCCGAGGACCTTGCTCCCTTGGCGAGAACCCCGCCGGCGCCTCGGGGACTGCAGAGCCCCGGGTCCTTGTGTGAGGAGCAAACGGGGAGGCAGGGCACGCGGGCACCCCCATCCTGTGCCTGCTGCCCCAGGACCAGCCCCAGCGGCCACGTGGCATCAGTGGCCTTCTCCAGGTGCGGCCCCCGCGTGGAGGCAGGAACGCCTCCCACGGGCCCTGAGCCTTGTCTCCTGGGCCAGCTGAGGGTAGTGGGGTCTGTGAGGGACGGAGGGCAGGTCCACTCTCTCGGGGGCCCTGAACCCCTCAGGTGGTGTCAGGACAGGACAAGAAGAGCCGACTTCTAGAAGCTTCTGCCGGCTGGCTGAGCACAGGTCCCTGGCTGGCTGTTTCCCCGTACTTGCTGACCGCGCCCCCCCCCCCCCCCCCCCCCCCCCCGCCCTGTGCGTGGAGCCAGGCTCTCTGAGCCCCTGTGTCCTTTTCCGGACAGCCATGCTTCCGGGTGGCCCCACCGTCCCGCTGACTCCCGCCCCCAGAAAATCCCGTGTCCCTCCCGGGGCCCCTCAGGCACCAGGCGCAGACACGACCCACGCGTCCCTCCCCTGGGATTCCGGAAGCCAGGCCGAGTGTAGACCGCGCCCAGCGCGCGGGGTGTTCCTGTGACCTCTGCAGGCCGTCTGTCGGGGACCCGCGGGGCCCGTCCTGCCCAGGGAGCTCCGCCTGCAGCTCCGGGTGACCCCGGCTCCCACACCTGGGCTCACACCCGCTCAGCAGCTTTTAGAGCGGCGTTAGCCCTTTTGTACGGCGGTGACTGGAGGGGGGGCTGGCTTTACACACACTGGGGTCGCTTTACCCTCCGAGCCTCCATGCACCCTAACAGTGCCAGACCCGGGGGGTCTCAGTGCTCGCCCCCCTAGGCCCCCCTGGCCTCTGAGGCCGGCCCCCACCCCGAGCAGTGTGCGCAACGTTTTCCAAGAAAGGCACAAAGGGCCTTTGGCTCCCAGAACGGTTTCTCTGAAATGAAAACAGACTACCTGTGGCCTGGAGCCTGTGAGTTTGGAAGTTTTGGGGAGTTCATGTTGGTCCCTTCTGTTTTCTGGAGGGAATTAGGGTTCCCTGAGTGAGCACGTTAGGGGCACCCCAGCTGTGACCCAGGGCCGCGCTGGACACGAGGAGCCTGACGAAGCAGAGCAGCCTCGCCCCCGGTGGCCTCCGTCCACTTCCGTCAGCACGCAAGGGCCTGGGGTGCAAACGGCCGTGGCCTGGGTCCCCGCAGGCAAGGCCGGAGGTGCCTGAGAGCCGGCGTCGTGGGGAATGTCGTGACCCCTCCCGCGGGGTCCCGGGGGCACCGACGGGGAGCCCGCTGCAGCCGCTGGGCCGGCCCGGCTCTGCGGCTCCTCTGTTCCACGTGCCGCTCTTTGGCTGTGACACTTGGAGGCTGACACGTGGCCAGTGGACGGGAAGGACCTCGTGCCCAAGGAGCCCTGAGGCAGAGGCCGGGTCAGCGTTCAGGCCTCACAGGGTCTCCCTGTCCCGGTTGGGAACAGAGCCGCCCAGCCAGCAGGGGACCGTGTGGGGACCCCGCTGTCAGCACGGCCTTCAGCCGGCCCCTCTCCCACTGCAGCTGCGGCCCCGCCTGGGCTGGGGCTTCACCGTGACTCGCTCTGTCGCTCGCACTGCCTCTCCTCTGCGAGACCTTCCCGGGCTCTGCTGGGCCGAGCGGGGAGGCCTTCCTCGGAGCAGGCCGGGCCACGGCTGTCAGCGTCTTGCGGGAGGACACAAAGCAGCCACGGCGAGGCTCGCCCGGGACCAGCTGGAGACTGTGGCCGTGGCTAGGGAGGTTCTAGAACAGTCTACCCGCGTGTCACTCCCTAGTTTTGTTTCTGGCTGTTGCCACGTTTCTCCTCTGCTTGCTCCACCTTGCTGTTTGACGAATGCGGTGCAGAGAGTTGGGGGGCCAGGTTCTCACAGTCGGAACTTGTGTCCGGGAGCTTGGACTTCGCAGCCTGTGAAGGGACCGTGTCTCCCCCGGACCAGCCACACGTGACATGCGCGACAGTGGCCTGTGCTGGCCGCTGGCCGAGGGAGGGGCAGGCCCCGGGGAAGTGAGCGTGGTCCCACCTGCGTCCCACTTGGGAGCGGGGCCCGGGGCACCACTCCCCTCCCGCCTGCTCCCCGCTGCTTGTGACCCGTCTGCGCAGGACCCAGCCTGTTACCTGCTGCAAGCTCTCGCGGCAACCAGTCAGCACAGAAGCTCCAGAAGCCACGAGTTTGGTCAGTGCTTGCCACGGGGTCCGTTCTCTCTGCCACATCCTCGCCTCCTGCACTAAGGGGCCTCCAGCCACCTCGCTGTCCGCCTTCACGACAGCCCGGGGTCCGGGCGCCGCGGGGCAGGCACCGTGCACTTCCAGAGTCCTGGCGGGTCTGGTGGCCGAAGCTGTTCTGTGGTCCGGCCCTGGCCAAGGCCCGCGTGGGCGGCCCCGGCCGTGGAGACGACGGGCTGTGGCGGACGGGCGCCGGCTCCTGGGGCAGCCCCGCTCCCCTTCACGGAGGAGGCGCTTCTCCGACGGCGTCCGTGCACGGGTCAAGCACTTAATTGTTTCTCCTGTAGCCTTTCTTTGGATGTGAGCCGTGCTGTGTATTTCTTGAATGTCCTCTGTGACTAACGGTTATCGAGTCGGTTGTGTATATGTGTAACTAATGTAACTGCCTTTTAAAATTTCATTATAATAAAAATGACTTTGCTCTGAACGCTGAACGGCACAGGCCACCGTTGTGATCGAGCTGTTCAGGTAACATTCCCCTGGACATTGGGACGTGCCTGGTGTCAGCCTCTCCCTCAGGGCGTGTTTGTGTCTGGGGCAAAGGCCCCGAGAGCTTCGTGCTACGGAGGGAAACTTCTCGGGGTCTTAGCTACGTAGGAGAGGAAGGAAACGAACGGCGCTTCTCGCCCACTGGACAAGCTTCCAGAAGACTGTCTGCAAATGCCGTACCTGTTCATCATCACAGCCCTGTGCTGCGTGGCTGTCACTCCCAGTCTGTAGCTCATGAAGCTGGTCCAGAGCAGTGACGTGACTCACCTGAGAGCCTGAGGGAAGGAAACGGCAAATCCAGGAGGCGACGGGCCTCACGCCATGCCTCGTGTGTGTTGTCCTCTCAAATACTCATTACTTCTTTTTAAAAGTCCCCCAGAGTGTAGTATTTTAAGTTACTCAAGCCTCTAGTAAATACGTAGACATTCTAATATTTCTCTGCTCAGAGACGACTATTTGGAGTCTAGCAAAATGGCAGCCTGAGATCATTGACCACCTTTTCCATCAAACATCCAGTGTTCCTATTTGTTTTTCAACTTGATGAGCTATTATTGATACAAAATAAACTGCGTGTATTTAAAGCATATATGGGAGAAAACTTGGCGATCTTGAGTAGGCGTGGGTTTCTTAGATACTACACCTAAAAGCGTGATCTATAAAAGAATGAAATTATAAATTGGACTTCATAAAAAATGCAAAGCCTTTGCCTTTCAGGACAGTGTTAGCAGAGTGAAAAGATCTTCCACTGACGCAGAGTAAACATCTGCAAACCATGTACCTGACAAAAGATCTGTATCCAAAATATGTAAAGAACACTTAGAACTCATTAAACAAGTCGGTACAAAACAGGCAATAAATTCAAACCAGACACGTCACCAAAGAAGAAACACAGCGGGAAATAAACCCACGAGGAAATGGCGAGGGCCAGTAGTCCTCCGCGAAGTGCCATTCGAGTTCCACGAGCCATTAGAATGGTTAGAATTTAAACAGACTGATGACAGCGACACCCCCACACGCGTGCAGAATGCCACAGCCCCTTTGCACAGGAGCCTGGCCGTGTCTTACAAAGTCGAGCACACACGCACCACATGACCTGGTCTTTCTGCATCTAGGTCCTTCCTTGCCCAGGGGAAACGAGAACATGCTTCCGCACGGAGGCCTCAGTAGGAATGTTCGTCGCGGCAGTTTGCAGACGAAGCAAGAACCAAAACACCCTGAATGTCCGGGGAGCGGGGGGGGGGGCGTGTGTCCACACGACTGCAGCTGCCCAGCGATGACACAGAGCAACGTGTAGATGGAAGCAACGGTAGACACAGAGCTCAAAACCACCGTGCAGAATAAGAGAAGCCAGGTGCGAACGTACCACGACTCCGCTTCTGTGAAATTCTGGGGACTCCTCCACGGGGCGGGAGGCAGGCTGGCGGTTCTGGGGCTGCAGGAGGGGCTGGGGGGCGAGGGAGGTGCCGGGAGGCTCTGGAGTGGACTGCTGGTCGCAAAGGGTACGCAAACCCCACAACCTTGCTGTGCACCAGAGGTGGGTACGTTAAGTCATATTGTGTATAAATTATGTCTAAATTAAGTTGGTATAAAAATAATCCCAGGAGAGGTTCTTTTGTGTGTAATCTGACAAGGTGCCCCCAACTTTCCTATGGAAGAAAAAGAAATAATAGCCAATAAATGCCATTGAATGGGACCTTTGAGAAGAGGAGGAGGAAGAAGGGGAGGAGGAGAGGGAAGCGGAGCGCCCACCTTCCCGGCTCCTGGAAGGTTCGTGATGGAAAGTGTGGCTCTGTCAGTGAGATGCAGGGAAGAACCTAGAAAGATACATGTTCAGAAGGGGGTTGTGGTTTGGGAGAGTCACGGGGGCCAGGCGGGCCCCCAGGGGCCGGTAGGAAAGCCCACAGGAGCGAAGACATTTTAACCTTGTCTGCATGGTATACAACATCCAGTTCGCAGAGAACAAATCCCACGGGGATGAAAACGCCTGAACGGTAAAAAACGACATATGCAGGGCGCCTGGGGGGCTCAGTCGGCTGAGCGTCCGACTTCAGCTCAGGTCACGATCTCACAGTTTGTGGGTTCAAGCCCCACGTCGGGCTCTGTGCCGACAGCTCGGAGCCTGGAGCTGCTTCAGATTCTGTGTCTCCCTCTCTTCCCCTCCCCTGCTCATGCTCTCTCTCTCTGTCTCTCAAAGGTGAATAAAAATGTTATTTTTAAAAAAAAGCGATGTATGGAAAACAGGAGAAAAACAAGGAAAATATGTTTTTGAAATCAAATCAGCAAAGGATTTCTTCCACCAGGCGTGAAGACCACAGACAGCTCAAAGAGTGAACTCGCTAAAAAATACTCAGCTTAAAAGAAACGTAAAAGATGGGGCACCTGGGTGGCTCGATCGGTTGAACATCTGGCTTTGGCTCAGGTCATGATCTCACGGTTCATGGGTTCAAGCCCCGCATCGGGCTCACCGCTGTCAGTGCAGGGCCTGCTTTAGGCCTTCTGTCCCCTCTCTCTGCTCCTCCCCTGCTCATACTCTCTCTCAAAAGTAAACATTTAAGGAAATGTCAAAGACAACCAATAAAGTCATGGAAAATATGTGTCATTTATATTTTATATACCCAAAGTGGTATTTGGGCATAGTGTTCAGAATATTTGAAGGATTAGGGGCGTCTGGGGGGGCGTCAGTGGGTCAAGCATCCAACTCCTGATTCCGGCTCAGGTCATGATCTCACGGTTTGTGTGTTCGAGCCCCACGTCGGGCTCTGTCCTGGCAGTTTGGAGCCTGCTTGCGATTCTCTCTTTCTCCCCGTCTGTCTCTCTACCCCTCCACCGCTCACGCTGTCTCTGTCTCTCTAAACAAAAATTTTAAAAACAGGAATATATGAAGGATTTATTAAAATTGATAAAAACACAAGTCAACAGGCACCTGAGCAAAGGGTTTGAACTGCCCATTCCCAGAACTCAAATGGTATTAAATACATCAGAGCAAGTTGAGCCTCCCCAGTAATTAAGGGAAACACAAGATTAAAACAAGATCATCATGTCCTCAGATTTACAAAGTCTGATCCACACGGTCTATTGAGGATGTGGGGAAAGACGGGCCCCCCTTGTTGATGGGAGACGGGGCAGCTGCTCCGGAGAGCGTTAGGCACTATCTGCAGGTCCGAGATGCAGACCTCTGACTCGGCGACCCCAAGCCCATCCTAGGAAGCCTTCTGCAGCAGCGCAAGGGGCCGGGGAGAGGGAGATTCGTGGTGCCGTGTGTGCCGGTGGACGGGGAGGCCGTCCAATCGTATCTCAGGGGCACGGAGAGCACTCAGTCACACGAAGGAACGTGCTCCCGCCCGTAACGTGGTCTTGTTGCAAATAGGGCGTTGAATTCATATTGTTATAACTCAGGGCCGTCACGTACCTTACGCATAAATAGATAAGTATTAGAGTTTGTAAAAAAAGAGTCTCATGGACCGACCGATGGGGACAGCTCTAGATGGAGAGGGCGAGGGGAGGGGGACTGTATGGTTTGCAAGGTTAGGTCCTCCACACAGACGAAGAAAAGAGAGAGGGCGTGGGTCACAGATAAAGGGAAGAAGAGGAGTGTCTGAAGATTTATGGCCAAATGTTAAACAGCTGCTCTCATCATGGCGCCAAGCACAGGGGTGAATATCACCCTTTTCCCAGATCTGTCGTGTTATGGAAATACGTAATAATTGCAAATAAATAAGGAAGTGTGAAAACAGCTACTTAATCTCACAGAGCAGTCAGGAAAACGCAAATTAAAGTAACGGTAACACGGCATTTTCACCCCCAAGTGGGTCCGCCAAAGCACAAAACAACTCCTACCCCCATTGCAGGTACAAAGGCACATGCAAGAATTTTCTGACGCATTTTTGGCAGAAATGTACATTTTTACAACTTACCATGAGTGATAGTGTCTTTTTTTACGTTTATTTATTTTTGAGAGAGAGAGAGAGAGAGACACACACACAGCATGAGCAGGGGAGGGGCAGAGAGAGAGGGAGACACAGAATCCAAAGCAGCTCCAGGCTCCGAGCTGTCAGCACAGAGCCCGACGCGGGGCTCGAACCCACAACCGTGAGATCGTGACCTGAGCCGACGTCGGACGCTCAACTGACGGAGCCCCGGCGCCCCGAGTGACGGTGCCTTTTAGTTGAAAACTAGCCCATCTTTTACGCAGCTGTCAACATCTCAACACCCTTCCTGGTGACATAAAAGCCTCGAAACATGCAGGCGTGTGTGAGGATGCAGTCGCGCGCGGTGGGAGGAAAATGGAAGATGGAGGCGAGGCCCCTGGCGGGGGAACCGGCGGGCGACCCGGGCGCCCCCCCCCCCCCCCCCCCCCCCCCCCCCCCC